TCCAAGTTTATTGTAGTGAACAGATTGAGGGACATGGAGTTAGCCTGGTAGGCCTATATTATATGAAGTTTTATAACAGAGAAAAAACACAATTTTGTTGGTGCACAGAAGAAAATATAGCTGTACACTTTCCCCCTTTTACTTCTCATAGCATCTAGCACAGAACATAGGGTCATAAACATACTAAATTGAACATTTCTTTACTAAATCAATCTACTGCTGTTAAGCTTCATCACCTCTTCAATAGCATTAGATGATATTCTGTACTGCAGTAAAATTAAACAATTTTATTTATTAATTCACTCTTTGTGGCCTGAGGATTGAATTCAGGGCCTGTTCATTGTGTTACATCACCAGCTGTTTTTGAGGCAGGATCTCTCTAAGTCATTAAATTGCCCAGGTTGGGCTTGAACTCCCAATCCTCTTGCTTCTGCCACCCAGAATGCTGGAATTACAAGCACCATGCCCAGATTGGGTTTGTTTGTTTATTTGTTTATTTATTTATTTATTGTCTTTTTGAGACAGGGTCTCACTATGCAGTTCAGTCTGGTCTTGAACTCCCTTTGTAGCCCAGGCTGGCCTCAAACTCACAATGATCCTCTTGCTTTAGCCTCCCAAGTGCTGGCATTCCAGGCATGTTCCACCATGCCCAGGGGGTCTATATATTTTTTTTAAAGTAATAATAATTTTAATTGTTGCCCTGTCTAGCTTTATAGTTTTTGATTTTTGATTTTATTAGATAAAATCTATTTCATCTTTTAACGGATAACATTTTTCTTGTGGTATTTAAATACATTTTATATATATGCAATCCTTTTTTTTTTTTACTTTGAAAAACTGGACTTTTTCTTATTAAACTTCTTCTACCTAAATCAGATCATTTTGCAAATTATGACACATGCAAATTATCCATTTTAATGTACTTCATATATCTAAAATTATAACTGTGACTCCTGTCAAATATGCATGAAACTATTAGATGGTAAGCATCTGATGTGGAGGGAGAAAAGTTACCTTTGGCGATGTGGTGGCTCTGGTTCTGGTCACCAGGGACCTGCTGTCACCCAGATGTCCATCTGGAAATGACCTCCAATGTGACCCTATCCCCCTGCAGTAAGCGTGAGATTAAGGGGCACAGGCTGACCGAGGGCATGGATTGGAGACAGTGGTGTCATGCTGAGCGAAGGCACTTTTGGGGGGACACAGAATTAGTAGCAGACACTTTGTAGTTCATCAGAAGCTGCCAATCTCTTTAGAAATCCTTCTGACAAAACAAAGTTCCTATAGCGAACTGGGGCAGTGTGAAAATGTGTCAGAGCGTGGTGCTGGGCAGCAGCATCTGGGCACACACTGTGCTTTCTTGGGCCCCACATGATGTCTGTGTGACGGACTGGGCTGCAAGGATGGCATGAGTGGCACACAACTTGGCTTCTGCCCTTCACAGTGATGTCCTCCTCTGCTCTTCCTTCCCCCCAGTGACTGGAATGAGCTGCTTGGGTCCAGGAGAAAGGTAGAAGGAGCCGAGGACCAAGCAAGGTGGTGGTGGGGGGCACCACCCTGCCCAGACCTCCACACAGACAGGAGCAGGACAGCAGACTGCTGCCACTCCTGGGTGGAGTCCCTGTCAGGCACAGTCTGGCCCCAACCTCGCATGCTGTCCCTTGCATCTCTCCAGCAAGGGTTTCCTGAACTTGCAGTTTGATTCATGTTTTTCTTTACCCTTCTGCGTTCTATGCTTGAACAGATGTTTCTTCATGAGCCAGGAAAACTCCTACTCATCTCCAAGACTCAGATGAACTGTCTACACTGTTTGAGGGGTCTTCCTTGATACCCTCACATAGGACGATGGTCTCATCCTTCACTAGACTCTGTCCTTGTTCCCACAAGAACGATTCTATCCCTACTTTACCCAGCACCAACTATGTGTCATGTGTTCCCCTTTAAATTGATGTTGCACACAGTGGTGCATTTAATCTTACAATGAATTAATAGGGTGTGTGCTAAACTTATTGTATAGATGAGGATGTCCAGGCTTGGTGTGGGAGATGAGGTAATTTCCCCCCAGTTTGTACAATATGGTAAACAAAGAACAGGAATTTGAACACATATGGACCTGGCTCTAGCTGTGGGTTCTAGTCCATTCTGCCTTTCCAGGGTGTCGCACTTACTCATCGCGTGTGCCTCTTGTCCAGGTATGTGACAGATTCTTCACATCCAGCTTGTTGAGGGAACTCCATAGATTCCAGTTAAAGAAATGAGCTCCTGCTCAATTTTCCTCACCAAAGCGATGGTTGAACTCTAGAAATGTACACCTGGTCAGGGCCAGGACAAGCACTCTGTGTTTGGTTCTGAGTTTTCTTCAGCTCATGCACCTGTAAAGGATGTGATTGCACACATCTGGGCTGGCTTTTGTCACTGTCCGTGTGTTGGTCTCTCTCTAGGAAACAGAACGCACTGTGTGGGTGGCTTAAATAACAGAAATTTACTTTCTCAGAGTTCGAGAGCTAGAAGTCCAGATCACGGTGCCTGTAGGGTTGGTTTCTGGTGAGGCAGCTGTCCTTGGCTGGCTTCTCATTCTGTTGTCATCCATGAGCCACCGTTGCTAGTGTCACTCCCGGTAAGCATGGCACTCCCATTGGATGGGGGCTTGCCCTTGGGAGGCGCAGGGCTTCAGCACCAGCCTGCAATGCACAGCACGGCAGTGCTCTGACAGTGCAGAGCAGCGCCAAGCACCAAGGTCACAGCTCCATGACAAAGAGCAGCAGGCCTGATCTGTGGGTCATGGTGTCAGAAGACTGTGGTGGAATTTCAGCTCTGCTTTCAACCTTGGGGTGACTTTGAGCGCATTGTCCAACTTTTCTCTTCTGCTTTTAAGTATTTATTTCTCTGGGGTGAGGGCATCAGGTACCTGTTCAATCAAGAAAGCCATCCTTACAATTCAGGGAATTTTTCCATGTTTAAGTGCTGCTGGACATTGAACCCATGGTTGCTTGCTAGGTGCTGAGCAGAGTGGCTCCAGGCCCAGTGAAAGTCACAAGTGCACGGGAAGTGGGCAGAGCACCGGGCTTCTCTGGGTGGGCAGCCACTCTCTCTGGCATTCTTCTCTCCCCATCACTTTCCCTTTCCCATCCCTGTCAGAAGCTGTCTTGGCCCTTAGCATGCTTCCATGCTCACTGTGCACACAAATTCCCTTGGCGAGAATCCCACCCTCCCCACGTCCCCAGCAACACCGGCAGCTGCTGAGTAACACCGAAACTCTTCTGGCTTTGCTGTGGGGATGCTTGTGTGGCTTGTTTTTTCAACAGTACCCATTGCCTTGGCATCCGCAGTGCTGCTCTTTTTGTAGATTCTTATGTATAGCTGAGGAATAGCCCTGGGTTTTCTAAAACCCCTAGAGAGCTCATCCCGGCTCCTCTCCTCTGTCCCACTGTGTCCCTCATTTTGGAGAACTACTGGAAGTCAGAGGATCATCTATTCCCTCTTCTCTTAGGCAAAGATGGTAAAGCACTAGTTTACAGAGATCGTTGTGCAAGCATCAGCAAACACCGAGCACATAAAGCATTACTGCTCGGTACACGGTGATGTGCACTGTGCTTTATCCTGACATCCTAACATGATGTTTATCTGTTCTCCTTGCTGGAAATCCCTCACTACTTCCATCCTGCTCTCTCTCAGTGGTCAGCCTCACACTTCGTGGCCTTGGCCTTCCTGGCCCTGACCTGGTTTCTTGGTTCTGCCTGACCTGGAGCCTCCAGATTGCCAAGTTTCTCTCGCATCTTTTCTGATTGTACAGGAAAGCTTTGTTACTCATTTTGGTTTCTTCCTAATTTACTTTTTCTGTCTTTGTCATATTCTCTCAGGCATATTTTGTGACAGGTAAAACATTACTTTCATTTTCTCACTAATCACGGATAAGTCACTCTTTCAATATATTTAGCTGTAAAGTGTCCCATTAGCTTTCAGTGGGTTTGGTAGGGAACACAAGAGTCGTGTGGTCCCGGCTTTTCTGAGTGTTGAGGGTGCACTTCCAGGATGGTGAGAGTGTACTTCCGGTGTGCTCACGGGAGAGCACAGTTGAGAATAAATGTTCCCTGTCCTTCGGATTTCCCAGTGTAAATAATTAACCCTAGTGATAGCTCTGCTCAGCTGGTCATGCTGCCTTGCCTTAGCAGAGTTTTCCCGGTTTGCTGCTTCCTGTTTCCTGCCACAGCCATACTTCCTAAAGGAAGGCTCTTGTGGCCACAGCCTTCCTGGAGGTTCCCATTCAGCCCTCCAGCTTTGCCTCAGCCGCAGCGCCCCGACCCCTTCCTGCCTTCCTCTCCCCAGTGCTGCTGCCTTCTCGCCTTGGTTTGTTCTTGCAAGATGCTCCACAGAGTCCTCTGCCCTTCCCATGCCCCATGGCCACACAGCAAAGCTCTGAGCAAAAGCTGACTTTCCAAAGTCAGCTTCAGTGAGGTACAATTCATACCTAGTGACATTTGCCAGTTTCAATTATAGATGTCACTCATGACCTCATAGTCATGTAACCTGGCCACAGTTGGCATACACAACTGTCTCCCCTCCCCAACCCCTCCCCTCCACAGCTCCTGTGCACCCTGACCTGTCTCGGTCCCCGGGGTTTTCTCTTGTGTGGATTTCAGCTCTGTAGGACTCATCCTGTTGCCCTCTATGCCCAGCGCCTTCTGCAGAGCACAGTGTGGTCCCAGTGCGGGGCTGACGCTGCCCCCTGTGTGGGCTGTGTGCTCCTGAGGGTGTGTGCCGGGCTGTTCCTGCGACTGATCCACAGCTCCAAGTCTTCACATGTCCTCTCATTCCTCCCAAGGTCCAGTTCTGCCTCACACAGCCGGATAAACTTGATTTTTTCCTTCGCATCTACACAAGTGAGCCCTTGTTTTCTGCCAGCTACTGGTAGAAACTTGTCTCTGAGTGTTTCCCCTCCCAGGTTTTGATAACCTCAAAGCAGAAACTGGGCTTATTCGCCTCACTTTCTGCAGTGCCTCATGGAAGCTGGCTGACTAGACAGACCCCTTCCCAGCTGAACGAGGGGAGGTCTGAGACGTTGCAGCATCTTGGTGGACTTCACCCCCTTGCCCCAGAACACGGCCAGAACATTTTGACGCAGTTGAGAGGGAAGTGCTGGGCTATGGCTGGCAACTGGGGAGAGTAGGTTTTCCAAGAAGACAAAACATTTCTTTTCTTGCTCTTGGGGCCGAGTGAAGTAAATTAACCACCTCTGATTCATTCGGGCCTCCCAGGTGCTGAGGAATGTGGAGAGGGCGTGGTGGCTGAACAACACTGGCTCCGCAGGACAGCCCAGTGGCCCAAGGATTGAGGTCTGCACAGCTTGGAACTCCGTCCCGGCCTTTTTGGTAAACACTGGATGCATTTCTCAACACCAGGATGACCAGCAGAGGAGGAAAACACCTGGGAGGAAAGTGGCCGTCCAGGAAAGGACCGAAAGCGTCTATGCATAAGTGCTGCATGCTCAGAGATGAGCTGGAATGCTTGACCATGAGTGGGGTACAGGCTCATCTTTTCACCCACATGAATTTTTTTATTGGACAGTGTTTACCTTTGTCCCCATCCAAGGACAGGTTTAAACCTGGCACGCAGGTAGTTGTACTCTGGCGATGAGAGCCAACTTTTTTAGCCGTGCTTGGGGACAAGCTTCAGCTGTGGCAGCCCTGGGAGAGAGGGAGGATGGTGTGTGCCATCCTTTCCATCTCTTCATTTGAGCAACCTTCCCTGTAGGATCACAGCAGACACAGGGGCATCTGTCAGAAGGTGACCGAGTGCTGAAATAAGCTCTGGGTGAGTGTGGAGGAGGGTGGCCTCAGTTTACATTCTCTCATGCCTCAGTTTCCCTCTCTGAAGTGGAGACACAATGATGGCCACATCCCACAGTGCTGTGACAGGGATGCCCACGCAGGGCTCTTGGTCTTTTGCTCTCCCTTCCGAAGGTGGCAGTGAAGCGGGGAGGCAAGAAGAGGCTCCTCAAGCCATCTGCAGTTGGAGCGAGCAGGCTCAGGCCAGGCTAACCTGGGCCTGCGGACTTAGCAGCCTGTTCTTGACCCACTGCAAGGGCTCAGTGTCCTGGCCCCACCTCCCTGTGCTGTAGGGAAGACCAGGGCCACTGCTGGCAGTTGATGCCCGGTAGGCCTTGAAACATTGTGATCTTCTTGCCGCCTACCTCCAGTGCCAGTGCCCTGCCCGTATCAAGGTTATTTCCAGCTTCAAAATGTGTGCGTGTGTGTGTGCTTTTGTATATGGATATGTTCACATGTGTGCACATGTGTGCCTGTGTGCACGTGTTCCTGTGCACCTGTGTATCTGTGTGTTTGTGGTGGGGGGTGTTCTTAATAAGATGCTCGTGTTGGTGCAGCGCCACAACCACTCATCACAAAAAGGACATCTAGCGTGGGCTCCTTTAAGGCCCATCTATTTAGGGAAAATGGTTACTTTTAAATTGTTCTTTGCACTTCTAAGAGGCAAGTATAAGAGGAGGTGTTGAGGCCAGGCAATCAAGAAAGCTGCAGGGTGAACTGGAAGCAAATGCGGGGAGGCTCGTGGGACAGATCAGTGAGGCTGGGGACAGAGGCATCCTCTGAACATTGGGAACTTCAGGCAAAGCCCCTGCACAGCAGGCTGCTCCCCAAGGAATGTGCCGTCCAGGCACTGTGATGGAGGGACTCCCTGGCCAGGCAGGCAGCTGTCAGGGTCTGCGTCTCATCACCTGGGGCTTTGCCAGCCTGCTCCAGGCCTGTGTGGCAACCTGGGGTTTGTGTGAATGGTGTCCTCTTTCAGAAGGACTTCGCACCCACCTTCTCCCTTGGAGGAAAAAAGAGTAGAGAGGCAAAGACAGGAGGGCCAGTGAGGGCTGTGAGAGTTGCATGCTCTTTGAATGTGGACAGTTTCCAAGCCCAGGTCAGATGCAAGCCCTCCTGATGGGGTTCTGGGAAATTACTGCCCTGCTCCTGCTCCCAGCAGTAGGCTGCACCTGTCCCTATGTTGTCCACAGCAAGAGGAGCCCATGCAAAACAGAAATGGCCACCGGGACAGCTTATGTGGCACCATGTTCATCATGGGTACCCAGTCCTGCTGATCAAGGCACCAGCGGTGTCCACAAACAACGCCCTTCTCCCCTACTGCTCCACCACCACAGAAACAAAACAAATGACACAGGAGGACAGGACCAGGTCCACGTCAGCACCGCAGTGACTGAGCCGGCAGCCCGAGTGGGAGTGGCCATGGTCAGAGTGGTCACTGTGTGGCTGTTTCCATTACCAGGGCGGTCCAGACACACCGTGCCATTAAACAAGGACCAAATCCAGGGATTCTGCACCAGAGGGCTAATTATAGAGCAAGTCCCTGTGACCTGGGCAGGCTGAACTGAAAGGGCCCACACAGCAGGGGGACAGGTCAGGGCCTGGGTTCCCTGTGACCTTCGCCACAAGAACCCACTCCAAAGGACTCTTCCACACAAGTGCCCGCTTGACAGGAGCTGCGGGTGTCTGCTGGGGTCTAGAGTTCCTAGGGCATTTCATCTTGGTGTCAGTTTTATATCTGATAGCTATAGCTTCTAGTTTTCCAGTTTAGCACTCTGGGGTGTGTGCATTTATGTGCAGAGAGAGAGGGAGAGAGAGAGAGAGAGAGAGGGAGGGAGGGAGAGAGAGAGAAATCATTATTTTCTTCTTTATATGCTTGCCTTTATTTTCTTAATTTGTTATCATAACCATATGCAAGGCAGCCAGTTTATGGAGTAATCTGATATATTTTGATTTTTTAAAAAATAAAGCATTTTAAAGAATGTGTGCTAATTTACTAAGATTATTTGGGGGAAAATATTAAAAAAACACATTTACTCACAATTTATCTCCTTAGTACTTCAATAATAAAACGTGGACTTTAAGAAGAGCTCAACTACATGTAGGTAATATTTAATGAATACCTATAAGTGTAGAACAACATTAATTAACTCATTTATTGCTCACAATAATCCCTGGAAGGAAAGAAACTTTTATTCTCATTTTATTATTATTTTTTTATTCCCACTTTAGAGGTTATGACATTATTAGAAGCTTGTTGGCCAAGGTGGAGCAGAGATGATGGATTTCCCACAGAAGTTTAATGGAGGCTCTGTAGAAGTCTCTCTGCTTCACTACACAGAACTAAGGTTTGCTAACACCACATGGTAGCTGGGTGTGTGTGTGTGTGTGTGTGTGTGTGTGTGTGTGTGTGCATGACAGAGAGAAGAGCTAATTACTCAAAATAATTCTTTCCCACACATCGGATTGGTTCTGTCTCTCTGGTGAACTCTAGTACAATGGTATATAACTCTCTTTTTTGTAAAACTTGAATCTGACCCCCTAAAATTGAGTGGCTAATGCCTGCCTCTGTCCTGAGCCTCAAGAAAGAATTTTCCAGCATGCAGTGGGAGAGGAGGAAGTCAGTAGAGCTCAGGAGACCACCTTTCCTAGTTGGCTGCTCTGAGACTCGTAAATGGATCAACATCTGAGGGGAAAGAGATGAGACAGCAGCACAGGAGTGTGACCTGAAGAAGGTAAAGAGTCGGGGGGGCCCTGGTTTTGGTAAAAGTTGTATGAGTTGGGAGGTTTTTTTTTTAAAGGTCAGGAACTGTGCTAGTTAGTAGGATTTTTTGTTGGTTCCTCTGCTTAATTTTGTTGCTCTAGTACATGGTTCTCTGGATATGCCGCTGACAGCCTGGCCCAGGGTCTCTGAGCTGGCTAGGTGCGACCTTCTCCTCCTTTGAGCACACAGTCCATACGCCGCTTCCACTCCAGCCCTGTGGCTGCTTTCTATGCTTTGTCCTTTTAAATTCTTCCTTCAGTTCCTCTCTGGAAATTTTATTTAAAATGCTGTAGCTCTTCCCACTGTCAGATCTAACACTATCAGAAATATTGCAATTATTCAGCAATAAAAGATAAATGTATTAAAGGAGAACAATACTTTTATAGCTCTAGGAGTCTCTCAACATTCTGCGAACTGGGACCTTCAATTTCCATACAAGTCACCAAAAGAACTTGTATAACCTTGCAGGGGATCTGTCCTGAGTACCCAGTGTTCCTCAAGGGCGCCCCAAGGAAAGCGCAGATCCACCATGGGTAAGCCAATGTCCTTAACATGCGGGAACCCACCCACAGACTTCTACATGCAGAGTTAATCTCCACTTGCATTTCCCTTCTTTTAACATCCCTAGGCATTGTGCTGCCTACCCTGTGCCTTCTCCATCAGCCTCTTACTCAGTTTGGATACCTCAATAAAATGCAAATCAGCGGCAAAGTGAAATTCTCAGTGTTGCCCAAAGTGGAGGACTGCAGTGACTGCTGAACACAGCGCCGAAGAACTCAACTCTATTGCAGTGAAAGGACATCAGCTACAATGAACACAACAGAAAACAACAGAGGTGACAGAAATCTGCCAGGATGAGGAAGTCATCAGGATGTCAGAATAGCGTGATTCGAATCTCACAGGATTCAGACACACTCAGGAAACTGATAAGCCCCGGGGCCTCCACAAGGACAGCAAGGTACCTGGTTGAACTGCACTGTGCTCTTGGGGTACTGTCAGGAAATGCTACAAGAAGCACTTTGGATCCAGTAGAACTTGGTTCATGTCTACCTCCTTCCCCGCTCTTCTTTTGTTGAAGCTTAAGTGAACAACACTGGCACGCCATCGTCCTTTCCCATTACGTCCCTGTCTCCTGTCTGTCTGTAATCACTTTTCCCTAATTCCCTTCAGATCCCCCACCTCAGAGAAATTCTGTCAATATATACTGATTGTGTGTCCCCTGATACCACCCTTTGACCCTTGGCTCTTGATGTGGACCTCACATAAAAAGGGTTCTGAATATCGGCTGAATATCTGGGTGTGTGGTCTATGCCTGCCAGGCCAGCTCTCTGGGAGGCTGAGGCAGGAGGATTGCAGGTTTAAGCCCAGCCTGGGTAATTTAGTGACTTAGGGAGATCCTGTCTCAAGTAAAAAATAAAAAAAAGGGTTGGGGATGCAGCTCAGTGCAAAGACCTTTGGCTCAATCTCTAGTGGGAACCTAAAAGGAATTTCACATAAATTAGTCTAATGACACAGGGGCACGCCCATCACTCATTGTTAGGTGCTCGGGGCTGGCGATCAGGGTCTGTCCCTCAGTAGTCCCCTTCCAGAGTGATGCCACTGTCCCCTCAGGAAGTCCTGCTCGAGGCTCTATCCTGTGTCACATTTGCCCAAGAGCCCTGCAGGGTGGCTCTGTCCCCTGAGGGAGAAGAGCTCAGCCGTGCAGACTCACAGGTGAGGATTATGGAGCCATTCCTCATCCTCAGTGAGGTCCGGAAAGTTTGTGTCTGTGATCCCATGGAAAAGTTATTGGAATCCTAGTGAGTTAATTCCATGCATGTTGAGAGTGAGGTTACTAAGGCATATTTAAGGTTGTGGGGAGCCAAGGGCGACCTAAGTCCAGGTAGGGTGATGGCTAACCAGAACGAAGGCCGAACTCAGGGAGTGGCTCTAGGATAAGTGACTGAGAGTGGTGGGAAGTACGTGAGTGCTGTGAGCTGGGATAGGTAGGAGGCCTGAAGTCAGCTCTTCAATATGCAGAGAGAAGGATATGCAGAAAGAGTAATCTGCATAACACACCTCCACAGTAGTATCTAATGTTTTGGGGTCAGTGCTTCAGCTCTGATGTGTGATCTTATGCCCTGGGAAGTCATAGCCTCTTATGGTGTGATGCTCTCTCCCTCCTGCTCCACTCGGTCCACATGTTTTTTGGGAGCTGCACGGCGAGGCAACACTGACCTGTCCCCTTACTTCAAATACTATACATCAGCACCTCTGCTAAACTGATCTGCATTGCTTAAAGCTGACTGAAGGGATAAGGAAAAGCCCTAGCTCTGTGCATATCAATACTTGGAAACAGGGCCAGGCTTAGCCAAGATGGAGGTAGCTGCTCTTCTTTCAAGGAGAGTCGTCCAAGTGTCCTCCACCAGGAGGACACAAAAGGCAAGTCTGATGCCACAGATTCTGGCTAAACAGAGTGCTGCTTCTGTCCACGGATGCTTTTTGAATTCTTTGTGCCCATTTCTCACTTCTCTTTGTGTCCCACCTGTGTGCCAACTTCAACTCAAGACTGTCCTCGAGCTCATATGTTCCTTCCCGCAGCCACTGCTTGCCGCAGCCGTCACTAATCCCACCCGGGGCAGGCGCGGTACGTGCCTGAATCCTCCAAGTCTTTTTCCTGTGGGATTTCCTTCTCTTGCCCTGGTTCTACTCCTTGGGTGATTTGTTATGTGGGCAGTTAGGAAGCATGTCCCTGGGGATATCAACGAGCTGTCTCAAAGTGGCTACTGGGAAAGAATGTAGTGCTAGGAAGTTCACAGAAGAACAAGAACTTCAGGAAGGTGCATGGTGTGCCAGTGTGGGTACCAAGTCACGCTGGGATCAGTGAGTCAGGGAAGGGGGCCTCGGGGTGTGGATGGTCCAAGTATCCCAGGGAGGATGACGAACAGCCACAATGAGTAGCCCTGAGTGAAGAACAGGCATAGACATTTTTGAGGACAAATCCCAGAGGAGCCCAAGGTGAACAGAAGACTGGGAGGAGAGTAGAGAGCTGGGAGGGTACTGGGGGTCCCTCAAACAGGCACTGGGGGCTTGTGTCTTACTTTGATCATTTTCCATGAATGAGCACACTCACCCCCCCACCCAGCATTTATTACAGTCATTTGAAATATACAGCAAAGTTACAAACATTGAACAGTAACACTTGCACCCTCCCATGGGCTCCAGCACTGGCATTTTCCCAAACTTGCTTCACCACCATGTGTTCATTTGTCCACCCTGCTCACCATCCATTACTCTTCTGGGTGTTTGATATTTCTCAAAACAGTGAGGTGACCCCAGCATGTTTCTTCCTCGGTTATTCAGCTTATATGTTGTTTGCTGGAGTTCTTTGTACTTGCATGAAAAATTTACAAAAGGTGAAATACAAAAGTTGCTCAATTTTAAAACCTCCAGGCAGAGAGAGCCCAAGTTTCCAGATTCACTGTCGAACAAGCGGCTCCCTCCTCCTCACCCTTCCCCGCACTGGTGATGCTGATGGATGCCTGTGGTAGAACCTCTGTGCATATGTTCAGCCAGCACCAGTCCTTTTGAGTGAAGTTTTTTCCACTGAGTATAATCATCTTGAAATTCATGCATGCATCAGTAATTTGTTCCTTTTTCTTGTGGCAGAGCATTCTGTTATCTAAGTGTGCCATGCTTTATCTGCTCTTTTGATGGACATTTGGGCTGTCTGCAGTTTGGGGCAATTACGAAGGAAGTTGTGAAGACCCGTCCTGGTCAGATCATATGCTTTCATTTTTCCTGGGTACGTATTCAGGAGTAGATGATCATACTTCATTTTATGAAAAACTAGGAGATCTTTCCCAGAAGTGCTTATACCATTCTTATTTGAATTTTAAAAGCAATCATTTTGACTTCGGTGCAGAGAAGATTGTAAGGGTTCAGGAATTAAAACCAAGAAATGCCAGGCATGGTGGCATGGGACGATGAACCCAGCACTCTGAGAGACTGAGGTGGGAGAATCACGGATTTGAGTCCTGTCTGGGCAACGAAGTAGCTTAGCAAGACCCTGCCCAAGAAGAGAGCAGGGAGCTGGGCTATAACTCAGTGCAAAGGTCCTAGTTCCAGGGGTGGGGGGGGGGAGGAAAAAAAAAGCCAACAAAGAAGTCAAGATATTGTCGTTGTGGCCTAGCGCTGGAACCTGTTTTAAGTTTTAGCAAGAATCTTTGTAAAATATTTGGGCAATATGAATTGCTAGCACGGCTAATACCTGACTGGGGTGGAGCAAATCAGTTTCTGTGGTGTTCTCTGGAGGTATGGAAGGAATTTCACACCCAAGTGCTGCTTCCAGGAAAGAGCCCTTGGTGACGTGGATGGGTATTTCACAGCCAGACACGCAGTGGGCAGTGAGCGGGCTGTTCCGGTGTGTTCCTGCCAGTGAGGCAGTGCCAAGGAAAGCTGTATTCAGTTTTGTTTTCAGTCACAAAGGTTTATATTATAAAATAAAATAGATTTAGAAAAAGTACACAAAAGACTTGTATCTCTCTGAGTGACTAGAAGTCAAGCATTTTCAATGCCCACCCCCGCCCCGCTCTGAGAGCGGCCCACCACACCCGTCGTTCTCTTGTGAGGAGCCATGCTGTACTCCCTTGAGGCTGCACTGACCCCAGGAGCACACGTTCTGGCCCCTGTTGCCTGCTGAACAATTTTGATCTACCTGTCACGTCTCTGGGTGTGGGCTCATCGTCACTACTTGCGCTAAGGCCCACCTGTTGCACACCTACGTTGTCTCCCATGAAGCCTCTTGCAGCCCTGACCTTTGTTCTCTTTGTGGTTGATCCTTGTGGTGAAGTTCACCATGCTCAGCTGTCCTGTGTATTTCCTGAGAATTGGATTCCGGGCTGATCAGACTCAGGTTTGAGTCCCTTGATGCACGAGGGGATGCAGGTGTCTATCACCTCGAATCATGAACCCACAGAGGACTGCAAAAGTGTGATGTTCCAGTTCTGCCATTCAGTTTTCAATTATTAGCCGAACTATCTTTACAAATATGGTTCTTCTTTCATCCATGTAGTTACCTAGTGGGGTAGTTTATATAGGAAAGGTGAGATAAATATTTGCTTCTAGCCCTTTGTTTTTGAGATAATCAATTGGTTTTGTTACATCCTCCGAAAGTGGTCAAATATATATATATATACTTTTAAGGTTTATATTTGTAGTGTATATGGCCTATATTTAAAATATACGTAGTATTTAAAATGTATGAAGTATTTAAAAGTATATATATATATATCTTTAAGAAAGAATGGAGAAAATTTGGAAAAGACTTTAAAAAATTTTCTTACTTGGAATGCTAGCGATTGTACTAGCATAGTGCTGCCTTGTCCAGTTACAGAGCAGTGGTGTGTGTGCATGTGTGGATATGTGTATATGTTTGTACCAAAGGAGACATAAACTGCCATGATAGCAAAGTTGATAACGCCTGTTCTCCGGCTGACACAGCCAACACATCCAGAGCTGTTCTGTGAACTGGTGGATTCCTGCTACTTGTCTCCACTATGCCACAGCACAGCATCTTACATCACTGGCTTTATGGGGATTTTCCTTGGTTTCCAAATTCTTCAGCCCTATAATTTCATCAGATAAAGGACAGCTCGAAATCAGAGTCACCCGATTAGGAGTGAATCTGTGAAGATCTAAGCTGGACCAATTTCATATCCCCTCACTTTATTTCTTTCATTCAGGAAGTGGAATACCTTCTTTTCAACCTGTAAAGAGAAGTAACACAGTCCATGTGGACTGTGTGCCCCAGGACAGTGCACCCCAGGCTGGCGAGCCCTGTGCTGCTCTTCTCTGGAGGGGAGGCACATCTTGCTCTTCAGAAGGTGACTGAGAAAACAGCATATTTTTCCTTCCAAGTGTTGGACAGAACGGGAACATGGCTAAGCCTGAAGAATCCTGTTCCCAGGGCTTTTCCATGTGGTCCTCACCTAAGCCCAGTGGATGGGTGGGTAGAGATTTGAAGTAATTGCTCCTATGCCCCTTGCCATAATAAGAAGGGGGCATTAGGACTTTGTGACCATCTGACCCCACTTCTCAAATACCTCTCATTTCCTTGGTCAGGAAGCTGTCTAGTAGCTGCTTGTATAATTGCTAATGTTTCAGGTAAGGGGATTGTAAAAAATTCTGTCCAAACTCCTCCCTAACCACACATTAATGAAAGAAACATAACAAAACAAGTAGGTCTGCTCTTAGCAATATTAGGAAGTGTTTTTTGTCAGTAATCTATGAGCTGTATATCCAAGTTCAACACTGAAGTTCTTTGCCATTTTAGAACTAAAATTATTCTTGCCTTGGTTTTTGACCTTGTTTTGATCATATGCTAATTATTTTCCAAGTGATGTCCCTCCTTAGTGACGTTAGCGTATAAAGAGGAGAGATGAATAAAGCATAATTCCCATTTAATGTAAGAGAATAATTGATGTTGCACTGGGAAGTCGTGGCCCTGTAGGCTTTGATTAGGAGTTGAGTTGGTGCCACTGTTTACTATGTCTGAGGCCAGAGGCCTTAGGCTTCTTTACTGCTGAGCTGCCACTGGCCAGTACATGGATCGGCCCAACTTATGCAGCTCCCTACATTCCTTGTGCCTGCTCTGTGTGACCCCAAAATGCTACTAGAACGTGTCCCCATCTCTGAGGGACACACAGTTGGAAACATTTTTACTCAAAGTGTGGGCCATGGACCAGGGCCATCCCACAACTATTTCCCATTCAGTCCATAATTAAATAAGTACAACAATGAGAACAACTTTTAGGGCAAATTATAGCAATTAAGAAGAATAATTTTATGTGTGCTTATTCATTCTGCTAGTAATTGGCTTTTATTGTATTTTCTAGAAGTATTGGCCTGAGACTGACGGGAAATTGAAAGACAGCTGGCTCCACACCACTGGTAGTTTGAGAGGCACAGGCTAGGGGCAGAAGCGGACAAGCCCAGGCCACTGGAAGGCCCAACTCACCCATGAGGATTTGCCATCAAAATTAATTCCTGATTTAAATATTTTCATACTTAATATCATGATAAATGGTTTGATTTTTCTCTTTTTAGTTGAGGTGTGATTCACACGTCACAAGATCCATGCCTGTAGTTGCAGATGGGTGAGAGAAATAGCATCTAATGTCCCGAGGCTGACAAGTATTAAGTGTAGGGAAGAGAGTGGATACTGAGTGTCCCAAAGCAAACAAGCAGACAAACCAAAGGATGAGTGTCTGAGGTCATGGATGGCCAATTACCCTGATCCCACGCCTCATTGTGCCCATTTACTGAAATGTCGCACTGAACCCCGTAAATACATAATTATTATGTGCCAGTTAAAAATTAAAAACATAAAACAACAACTATTAACTCACCTTTCAAATTTAGAAAATAAAATTGGATGGAATAATAAAACAAACTGCAAAGAATTGTTTTGAATTTAGGGCGGACTTTCACCTGTGTAGTCCTAGTGACCCTGGTCTCCCTGGTCACCCAAGAGAGCCGATCTGAACACACAGCCACTGTTGCTGTCCACACTGGAGGAGGTGGCAGAAACCGGAGGGGTGTTTTCTGTTAAGGAGCTTACAATCTCCATGAAAAAGGAAGAAAGACGAGCAGACGATGAAATGCGGAAACACGAAGGCGTAAGGACAGGGCCGTGGGGTGGGCAAGCAGTGAGGCGTGGGCTGCCCGGGGAGGCACGTGGGAAGAGAGGGAGCTGGGCCTGGAAGGACAGTGGCACTGGAGGGGCACAGCCTGGCAGCAGGTGGGCACAGTGGGAGCCAGACAGCAGCGTGTGGGGTGTGGAGCAGGGGAGGGCACCCAAGCTGGGCAATGCAGAGCAAAAGCATGGAATGGAGTGAGCTTGTCACGAAGTCTGGCTTCTTACATTTAAAGGCTTTCACTTGTTTTAAGATTACGCTCATATTTTTTTGGTGCTCAAGTGTCCTTTCCTGTTTGTGGAGTGTTAGAGAGAGAGAGAGAGAGAGAGAGAGAGAGAGAGAATATGAGCGTGTGTAAACACACATGTGCGTATTTCATGTGCTGACCCAGAAGAGGAAAAGTAGAAAACCCTGTCTTCTCCCTGGGCCCTTCGTTTTTCTGTTTGTGAAGTCAGACATCTGGAAGCCACAGTTTGATACAGGCACTGGAATGTCAAAACAGGAGAATTCATCTTAGCCCATTTCTTTAAGAAAGTCAATATGTTCATTGGAGATCATTGTAGGTGGACAGAGATGGATGGCCAGCTCAGGGTTTCTGTCCCCTTGTCACAGCCCCCTGGGTTCCCAGCAGAACACCTGGTGGGGTGTGGTGGCTGAGGAACCCTTGGGATGCTGTTGTTCACCAACGTGCGCAGCTCACATCAGGTTCGCCCTTGTATGTTGTGGCTGTGACAGTTTACAGTGCCAGGCAGCTACCATTCCAGCGTCACACACAGGGAATTCACTGCCCAAGATTCCTCTGCCTTAGCCCACTCACCCCCCCCCCCCCACCCCCCCCCCCCCGAGTTTCACACTGCCACTGGAGTTCATCTTTCCCTGAACGCCACACTTGGCAGCTATACAAAAACAAATGCACACAAACAAATGCAAACGCAGCCAGAGCCTCTCAGACTGGCGTATTTTGGGTGGTAATGTGCAGATGAGGTTCTGCCTGTCTTCCCTGCAGCTTGAGAGCTTGTTTCTTTTACTCACCACTTGTTTATGGATGGATCTCTTGTTTGGATTCTAATTCTGCAAATATGAACAAAGCTGTATCTCAGCTTATTTTTTTGCATTTAAAAATACGTAATATGAAGCTGGATGTGGTGGCGCACCCCTGTAATCCCAGCACTTGGAGGCGCTGAGGCAGGGGGATTGCTTCCGGTTTGAGGCCAGCCTGGGCTACAAAGTGAGTTCAAGGCCAGACTGAACTGCATAGTGAAAGCCCTATCTCAAAAAGACAAAAGAAAAAAAATATCATATAAAATCCATTTGCTACTAACAGTATATTCATTATGAAATTTTAGAAGGAACAAGAACTCTAAAAAGAAAACAAACAATATTGTTGATTCTCCCCAAAGGTAACCCTAGTAATTATTAGTCTGTCTTTATGCTCTCTTTCCAGATATTCAGACTTTATTTTGAGAATGTGGTATTTAGTAACCACATGGTGACTCACTGTGTGAGTGTTTTGAAAATGACCTGTCCCTGTTACCTCATTCTGATCCTACTAAAACATAAACTCCAGGCAGGCCAGGGTTTTAGGCAGCTTTATGCATTGACAGTCTCTTGGTACATAGCAGAGGCTCTGGCAGCCACTTCAAAAATATTTGTTCAATAAATGAAAGGATTACATTTATAAAATTTGTATGATTTTGTGGCTAGGACTTACTAGTGGTGAAAGTTACTTCCTAATGGGAGAACTGAAAAAACTTTGGCTTTGGGCATAGAGTTTAGGGGATGATTTCCGTTCTGTCTTTCTCACATGGTAAGCAGTGATGTTGTCTCTACATACGTCAGAACAGGCTGTGTGCTGTGGCTGGGTGTGGCTTGTGTCCCTCAAGGGTCTGTGTGTTGGATGCTCGATATCCAGGATGTGAAGTAAGATGAGGGCACTGTGAGGAGGCCGGTGGGAGGAGATTAGGTCATAGGGTTCCTGCTCTTGGGAGGTTGATGTCCTTCCCGTGGGCTCTGGGTGCTCTTGTGTGGCATTGTAACAGACTCTATCCCCTCTCTGGCTTCCTGTCTTTTATTTTTTTGGGGGGTTTTGGTTTTTTTTCTGGTACTGGGAATTGAACTCACGACCTTGCGCTTGCCAGGCAGGTGCTATGCCGCTGAGCTACACCCCCAGCCCTGGCTTCTTGTCTTGCCGGATCATTTCCCTCTCAAGCATGTGGCCTTGCTGTGGTACCATCTGCCATAGTGCAACAGAGCCAGGGGCTGTTGCCAGAGTCCAGGCAATGTGCTCTGGACTTTCCCCTCAAGAACTATGAGCCAGAGAAACCTTTCTTTACAAAGTATACAGGTAAGGTCTTTCCTTCTAGTAGCAGAAAATGGACTGATTCAACATGCACCTTGAGGGTTTTTTTGGTCATCTTTCCATCACTGTGACAAAGTACTAGGGAAAAACACCTTAAAGAAGGACCGATTTATTTTGGCTTACAGTTCCTGAGTTTCCAGTCCATGGTCAGCCAGGTCCATTGCTTTAGGCCTGAGGTGAGGCAGGACAACTTGGTGGAAGGGTGTGGGGAGGACAGCTGTTCACTTTATGGCAGCCAGGAGGCAAAGAAGGAAGGAGAGAACCAGGGAGGAAGGGGAAGGGCTGAGGACCAGACATAGTCTCTAAGGTCATGCACATTGTCCACTCCTTCCACCAGACCCACCTTCTGTTTCTACTACCTTCCAATAAACCATCAAATCGTGATTGTGACTAAGTTAATGGATTAATCCGCTGAAGCCAGGCATCTCTCTAGGGCCCAGCTCTGCACACTGCCACACTGTGACTTGGTGGCAGTGAAGCCTGCTGACAGGGTCCCGGCTGCAATGTGCTTTCCTAGGCACCTGCAGGATCCTGGGTGAGAAGCACGGCTGAGAGTATCTGAGGAGGTTCGTCAAGGGTGCACCTCACCTTCACACCCTTCAGATGTCCTGGAGAAACCTCTCCTCCTTGGCTGACCTGCCCCTCCCCCTACTCCATCCTGGAGGGCTTTGGTGGGCGTCCAGTGATGTGGAAGGATGGGACAGTGGTGATAACATGCAAAGTAGATGGTGATAACAGGGAAGAGCAGTTCCCCAGGAAATCCTGGTGAGAACTTCAGCATTAGCAGAAGGCAGGCCAGCAGGAAGACCCGAGTCTTGTGATTTGAAAGTGAAGATCTGGAGTGGAGGCAGGGAAGGAAGAAGCGCTCTGTCAGCATAGAGCTCACTGAGTTATAGTCGGGGTAGGTGGTCTTGCTTCTCCACCATCTTGAATGCTGGTCCTGCTTAGCACCTAGTGTCCCATTGGCCAAGGTCATAAATGAAAGCAATCTCACTGAAAAGTCATTGAAATATTCATTAACTTAGGGCATTGGCCTAATTTTTCCACTGAAAGTGTTTGCTTTGTGGTATAAATTTAAAAAATTGCTTGCTCAGTAACAAACTTCAAAACATTTGAGTGGGGTGCACGTATCTGCCCTTATGTGCTGATAAAGGGAATGATTCCTGAAGATGGCTTTGTATCCCAGATATTTATAGCTTTTCTATTTATTAACTTCTGTTTGTTTTAACTCTTTCCATATGATTGGAATGTTGTTTTGCTTAAAAAAAACCCAAAAAACAAAAAAATGTTGTTTTGTTAAAAATGTTTGGTAACATCATTTAGTAGTTTTTCTCTTGTTTGCTATTCCCCCAATGTTTATTGACTGCCTGTGAAGTACTTCAGACACAATGGGCCATGGGAACCTTAACAAACTGTAACCCATTGGATAACACAAACAAATGCAAACAGATGATGAAAGTACAGCACAGTGCCTCTTAAGCACACAAGGAGGGGTGCCTAGCTAAAAATTAAAGTCAGAGAAGGCTTTTGGAGTAAGCACCATTGAGTCTAGTAATACTAAAGATTCCAGAAGTTTGAGGAGAAGGGGAGGGGATTGCAGGGGTGGGAGCAGTGGGTGCAAAGGCCCTGGGGTGAGAGCCAGGTGGTCTCAAGGTGAGGAGAACATGTAGTAAGGGGCAGGAACAGGGAGAGGTGAGAAGGGGAAAGCTAGGTCTGCACTGCGAAAAATCTCAAAAGTGGTAGGAAAGAGCAGGTGTGGTGGTGCTGAGGAAGATAGAAGTTTGAGCCTGGCATGGGCAACTTAGTCTAGAAATAGATAAATAGGAGAGATGAATAAATGAATGAATGAATGAATGAGTAGGATTGGGAACATAGCTCAGTGCAAAGGCCCTAGGTTCAATCCCTGGCACTGAAAAAGAAAGAAAGAAAGAAAAGAAAAAAAGAGAAAAAGGAAAAGTTGTGCCCAGGTCTTGGGAAGGCCAGTGGTGGGCAGGCTCGCAGCAGCCCTGTATGCACAGGGCAAGGGCG